AAAATTAATGTTAGGTCAAAAATTAATCTCCTGTTCTCTAGAGTGATTAAATTTAGTCTTATTGAAATGGGATAGTAGTCACGGCAGGTAATAGCCATAGGTTTTCCCATGCGGTAGGCTATCGTGCGTAAGAATTTATACGTAAGAATTTAATGAAATATTGGTAGGGTAATATAATCAGGTCCTAATCGAAATAATGTACACGTGTTTTATGGAATAAAAGTTTGTATATATATAAGTGTGTATATATATACAGGGTGAATCTTAATGGATGCACCAACTTTTTACCATAGGAGATGAGTTACCGACCGCAACTGTAATCAACCGAACGATCCATAGGTGACACCAGCTTGAATCGACCGCTTCGATCGACGAGTCCGAGATGATGTACAGGCAAGTTAAAAACTGTGAATCAAATAACGTATATCGTATGTACATACTTTTCTAATATATCCAACTGTCTTACGCATTTTTCTTTTTACATATAATTTTATTTAATAACACGATTTCTTATTATTTTCCATCTATGCGCAACGTATTTACCGCATGTACTACGTTTACGCGAGCGTTACTTTGGTAGTAACTTACGATAATTCACTCGTTTACGCAGAGTAAATTATCGTAAGTTACTACAAAATTTCCTTTACGCGAAAAAATTATCGAAAGTTACTACAGAAGTAACGCTCGCGTAAACATAGTAATAGAAAGAAATATCTTTTGTATCTGTTTCTACGTTTACGCGAGCGATTATTTCTGTAGTAACTTACGATAATTCACTCGTTTACGCAAAGTAAATTATCATAAGTTACCACAAAATTCTGTTTACGCGTAAGAATTATCGTAAGTTACTACAGAAGTAACGCTCGCGTAAACGTAGTAAGAGTATCTTTTTTATACGATTTTTTTTTAATATTTATATTTTAATACAGTTTTATTTGGTGGCGATTTTTTTTCACGCTTACGCGGAACATTTTAGCGCGTAAAAAAAGAGTTGGATATAAGCGGAAAAAAATAAAAATATTCTACTGTAAACTTTATGGATATAAAAGTAATAATAAAAAGTAATAATAAAAAGTAATAATAAAAGTAATAATAATAAGTAATAAAAAAAAAAAAAAAAAAAATTTGCGCAAAAATAAACATACTAACTACATCGACAGGTTTATATTACAAGAATTTAAATTTTGCAAAAGATTTCTTTGTGATAATGATGATCTTCTTGTTACCAGGGCTGATAAGGGCCAAGTCACAGCAATTTTGGAGAGAAATACTTATGTTAATAAGATGATTGATTTGCTTAATGATAGTTTGACTTACAAAAAACTTAAAAATGATCTCACTAGACGGATAACATCTAAAATTAATAATTTGGCAAAGTCTTGGTTTAGCAAGGGCATTATCAGTGAACAATTATTTAGGCATTTGAATTGTACTAATGGGAACCTCCCACGTTGTTACGGACTTCCGAAGATTCACAAGGATGGCTCACCATTACGAATTATTGTTTCTACTTTAGGGAGTCTACTATATAACATGGCTTATTTTTTACACAACATCTTAGAAAAATCTGTCCCTAAACCGAAGTCATATATTAAGAACGGTTGGTCCTTTGTTGAATTGATTGGTGACGTAGGGATTGGGGAGGATGATGTTTTGATCTCTTTGGATGTCGCGTCTCTTTTCACTAACATCCCTAAAGACCTTGTTTTGAAAGCGATCGAACGGAGGTGGAATCACATCTCTAAGGAGACGAAGCTCAGCCGTCCTCAATTCTTGTCAGCTGTGGACTTGATTCTTAGTTCCACTAGCTTTTCTTTTGATGGTCAAATATATGAACAAATCTTCGGAAGTCCGATGGGTTCCCCTCTCTCTCCGATTTTGGCGGATATGGTCATGGAGGACCTTGAGACGCATTGTTTGCAATTGCTTAGTTTTCATATTTCCTTTTTTAAAAGATATGTTGATGACATTTTCGCGATTGTTCCTAGATCTGGTATTGACGAGTTACTTAGAGTTTTCAATAGTTATCACACCAGATTAAAATTTACATTTGAAATAGAAAAGAATAATTCTCTAAGTTTTCTTGACACAATAGTGATTCGAGAGGGGACTGTGTTGCTTACGAATTGGTACCGAAAACCGACCTTTTCGGGGCGATACATAAACTATTTTTCGAATCACCCTCTCAAATACAAAATTAATATTATACGTAATCTTGTTGACCGAGCTATTCTTTTATCTGACGTACGTTTTCATAAGTCTAATTTAATCGAAATAAAAAAGATTCTTTCTAATAATTGTTATCCAATAAAATTAATTAACAAGTACATTAACATCAGACTTAACGAGCTACAGACACGTCATAACAATAATAATAGATCTAGCAGTAACAATGTAGCCCAGGATCCTCGAAGGTTTATCACTATACCGTATATTAAGGGCCTTAGTGACGGTGTTGGCCGTACAATGCGCGATGCAGAATTCAGGGTTCTCCTCACCATTCCGAAAAGGTTGGATTGCATTATTAAAAGGGGGAAGGATACGCTACCGAATCTTAAGCAAACGGAGTTGATATATGAGATTGATTGTGCTAATTGCAACGCTGCATATATTGGTCAAACAAAAAGGCACCTAGAGACACGGGTTAAGGAACATTTTTGTGATATTAGGAAGAACAGCGATAATCATTCTGTAGTTAGTAAGCACCGTCTCACGCATAACCACGATTTCAATTGGCAACAACCAAAAATTTTATATAAGGAGCGACACTTTAAGAAACGTGAAATCTCTGAGATGTTTTTTATTAAAAAATGTGATTGCGCAATCAATCTTCAAAAAGACACAGAAAGTCTGCCCGCGAATTACAACCGTTTGATTGGCGTCACTTAATTTACACTTTTGTTCTGCTCGTTTCCACCTGTGAACACATCTATTTATTTGTTATGTATCGGTCATTTAGTATGACTTCGTCTGTCACGCTGTACTGATGTGTTCGCAGCTATGGCTTGCGACGTTTCTTCGTTCTGCGCTACCGTTCTCACTTTCCGTTTTGACGCACAGAATATGTAAGCCTTACATTTTACTTTGTACATTATTTATAACTTAACTATTTATAACTTAACTATTTTTAACTCAACTATTTAATTGTATTCTTACTTTTTATTTTATGACTTCTGAGCGTTTTTATCTTTTTGACTATCGTGAGTTTATTTCACTTTTTTAGCTTTACGTGTGCATGATGTGGTTAGGGCACGATGTCAGCGACGTAATCGATATTTTGTACGCGGTTTTTGAGGATGCATAGCTTGATGAATCACTTGAGAAGGACCGAAAATGCGGTTGAAACGTTGTGAATTTTAAATATATTTATTATTTGGCCAGTCGGGTCGAACAAAAACGACTTTTGAAAAGTAATAATGTGAAAAATTAGAAATAATAACAGTGGACTTCCGCACCACCCTTGAGGTACCACCAATGGCGCGTTAGGTTTTTTAAAGTGGACCTTCGCCTGGAGCCATATTGTACCACATCTTTAGACCTTTTCAGTAAAAAAGTTCAAATAGATACATTGATGTCATATTGCGTAAGAGCGCACGCAGATGAAAAATTACATCAACATGTGACCGTGCGCAACACATCACCAATTTATCATATTTTTACTTTAGTATGTGCTCGAAATGGCCCCCCTCCATCCTCTCACAAAATGTAGCCCTTGGCAAAATTGCACGGCGCAAGACCTGTGGAGTTATTGCACGGCAAGCTCGTACAATTCGATCCCTCAGATCTTGAGCATTAGCAGGTCGCGTTGCGTAAACTTGCTGCTTAAGATGACCCCACAGAAAAAAATCTAGCGGTGTGAGGTCTGGTGAACGCGGTGGCCATGCGAAACCACGAATACAAATTAAACTATAAAAATATTCAAAAAAATAAGACTTATTTGAAAATATAAAAAGAATCTTTTTTTTTAATTATTGCACCGGAATCATTACTGATTTTTATTGTAATGGTTGCTGTGAAATCCGTACTGGTTACTAAAAGAATGTTTACTGTTAGTAGCGCGTAATGGTTAATGTAAGAAAGATTAAAAGTTGAGAGTGAGCAAAAATACAGGAATTATTACTGTTTTTCGGCTCCTAGTGCAGTAATTAAGTTTGCACAACGCGACTTGCTAGTGCTCAAGATGTGAAGGATTTAATTGTACGAGCTTGCCGTGCAATAACTCCACAGGTCTTGCGCCGGATGCGTCGTGCAATTTTGACAAGGGCTACATTTTGTGAGAGGATGGAGGGGGGCCATTTCGAGCACATACTAAAATAAACATATGATAAATTGGTGATGTGTTGCGCACGGTCACATGTTGATGTAATTTTTCATCTGCGTGCGCTCTTACGCAACATGACATCAATGTATCTATTTGAAATTTTTACTGAAAAGGTCTAAAGATGTGGTCTAACAATATGGCTCCAGGCGAAGGTCCACTTTAAAAAACCTAACGCGCCATTGGTGGTACCTTAAGGGTGGTGCGGAAGTCCACTGTTATTATTTCTAATTTTTCACATTATTACTTTTATATCCATAAAGTATACAGTAGAATATTTCTTATAGAAAAGTAGAATTGCTCAATTTTGTATAAGAATGGTAGAATATTTTTATTTTTTTTCCGCTTATATCCAACTCTTTTTTTACGCGTTAAAATGTTCCGCGTAAGCGTGAAAAGAAATCGCCACCAAATAAAACTGTATTAAAATATAAGTATTTAAAAAAAAATCGTATAAAAAAGATACTCTTACTATGTTTACGCGAGCGTTACTTCTGTAGTAACTTACGATAATTCTTACGCGTAAACAGAATTTTGTGGTAACTTATGATAATTTACTTTGCGTAAACGAGTGAATTATCGTAAGTTACTACAGAAGTAATCGCTCGCGTAAACGTAGAAACAGATACAAAAGATATTTCTTTCTATTACTATGTTTACGCGAGCGTTACTTCTGTAGTAACTTTCGATAATTTCTTCGCGTAAAGGAAATTTTGTAGTAACTTACGATAATTTACTCTGCGTAAACGAGTGAATTATCGTAAGTTACTACCAAAGTAACGCTCGCGTAAACGTCGTACATGCGGTAAATACGTTGCGCATAGATGGAGAATAATAAGAAATCGTGTTATTAAATAAAATTATATGTAAAAAGAAAAATGCGTAAGACAGTTGGATATATTAGAAAAGTATGTACATACGACATACGTTATTTGATTCACAATTTTTAACTTGCCTGTACATCATCTCGGACTCGTCGATCGAAGCGGTCGATTCAAGCTGGTGTCACCTATGGATCGTTCGGTTGATTACAGTTGCGGTCGGTAACTCATCTCCTATGGTAAAAAGTTGGTGCATCCATTAAGATTCACCCTGTATATATATATATATATATATATATATATATATATATATAAAATTTCGTACAGTTAAGGAGGTTGAAGCAGTTTGGTCAATCGAAGATTTTCGTTTGTAAAAAATATATATGATGGTATAGGATCTACCGCATGTGTGGAATAAATTTCAGATTTATTGACCATTCAGGAGCTGAGATATTAAATTCCAAAAATGCGTCGTTTTACATAGGGTTATATGGAGAAAGCGTTGGCGGCGATAATTGATCCCAATTTTCTTTAATATCTAGTAAAGATAAACGCTCAAAAAACGTGCTTACGCGTACGATAAATTAATGCGAACATTAGAACGGAAAAAAACACGTATTTACCACCTTATAACAAATATATTACGAGTTAAAGCGATTGAAATTAAACGGAAACAGTAGTTGATAGTTCGCGAGTAGGTAGATGTAGCAACGCAGCGTCGGCAATGTAACCCTAACCTTACCTAGAATGACAAAAAATTCACGGGCATGTTTACGTTCAGCAACTGCCGCTACGTGGCTCAACACAGAGGCGAGCGCTGCTACCAACCTCACAAAAGTGCAACGTTGCCAAGTTTTAATCGTATTTAATATAATCGACGGAAAAGTATTAAAAAATTGACAGCTTATATAATTGTCAAGGGAGCTACCAGTAATAACACAGGAACACAAAAAAAAGTTGTCTGAACAGAATACTCCACTAGGCTATCTTTATGTATTTTGACGCGCTGAACACGAATCCGTCGTCAGATTAATCTCAGCACGCTGTTCAGACAACTTTTCTTTTTTTGTGTGCCTGTGTAATCATTATTTCATTCTATCAACGGCAAAACATATATTCATGCCATTTTTATATTGAAATAATGAGCAATACCACAAGTTTTCAAGTTAGCACTGGCAAAAAAGTTTGTTTTTAGCTAAATAAAATATAAAGATGCATAATATGATACTTTTACTATACGTTTTATGCAATAGCAGCGTATGGAGAATAAAATGATACCTAATACAGATTTTTTAATGACCTAATAAAAAACATTTTTTTAAACCGTCAATTGACTCAACTGGACCGCTTCAACCTCCTTAATACACACATCAAGACTGTCATTATTCGTTCGCGCGGCGCGACGTTGGCCGAATAGGCCTATTTTGTAATGAGCCGGCACCGGTTTCTGACATTTACCCGACATTAAGAAAAAATTATATTTGTATATCCGATTCGAAATTTTATTACTCTTTTTAAACTAAATTTGTTTCTTAAGAATTTTTGAAAAATTATATATTTGCGTTGGTTATGACACATGTAGACTATATATAACACTTACATCAAATTAAGAAGTAGTCTACCACGTAAGGTTGGCTCACGATCCAGAGGTCCCGAGGTCTTGAGTTCGAATCCCATCAAAGTAAGTGTGTTTTTCAAGTACGAGAAAATATTTATAATCATAGGTTGCATCTTAAGAAACAAATTCAGTTAAAAAATAGTAATAAAATTTTAAAATAAATATAGTTTTTTTATGTTGGGTGAATTTTCTCATTAGAGAGTACCTTATTTGGGGGCTACACTCATTTGAGGGTACCCTATTTGAGGATTCTTTTCGTGGTTAACCCTCATTTCGGTGTTGATCGTCAATTGACGATCCGAATTTACAACAAACCTTTGATGGTCTTTTTGAGAGTATTTTTACATCGAAAATTGGGTGTTTTTTCCGTAAGGGTTTAATAGCTAAATTACATTAAAAATTTTGTTGAAGTTATTTGGAGACTTGCATAAATAATAATTACCAACTCAAATAAGAATTATTAGAGACTTTACATTTTTTACTTTAATTAATAAGAATTATTTACCGGTTATACAGGGTGTAACAAAAAGTATAAAATTGTTTGTTGTAAAAAAAAAAACATAAAAAAATTATTTTAAAAAATTTGATTGCATTTTGTAAACGCATTCAATTTTGCAAAATTGCAAATGTAAAGATTAATAAAAATTAATATTATTATTCGATTTCTTTTATTATTCTACGTATAAAAGTATGAAGGTAAAGTTATCGAAAAGTGTATATCTTACGACGGCTTACGAGATATCACATATTTTAGTTATAATAAGGTAGATAACCGCATAAATACTAAGTAAGTAGAGCCTATAATTTTTATTTTTATTTTACATATTTTCCAACCTTGACTGCAACTTATGGCGTTTTCGATTTGTGACAAACCTGGCTCGGGTTAGTTCATGGACATAGAACACATATACATATCATGTATGTATTCTATGTCTATGAGCTAACCCGAGCCAGGTTCGTCACAAATCGAAAACGCCATTAGATGTATTATAGCATCAAAAATTAAATCAAATCAATTTAATTAGGGGATGGGAGGGGATTTTACTACTACAACCGGAGCTGTGTTTCAAGTCTGACAAATTTAGTCGGTGCGCAGTCAAGGTTGGAAAATATGTAAAATAAAAATAAAAATAAAGCTTTCGCGCATTATTTACCGAGCTTGGTTCTTAATTAGCCCGTTTTCTATATTCCTGGATTTCCATATTTAGTCTATACTTTGAATTTTAACATTATTTGTGTTCATGTAGAGAGTATTGAATTTTAAAGTAAGATTAAACTGTCTTTATTATTATAATATGAATTTTTGGTTTGAAAGTACTGTTATATATTCTCTATCCAATATTTTTTGCTTTCCATTAATAAAAATTATTTTTGAATAATAAGAATATGTTGAGAATACAATTTCCGTACTTTATATGTTCGCGACCAAATCATCATTATATGTATATTCACGGTTTTGTTCACGGACCAATCACGTTAGAGCGCCCGAAGCGCTATCGTATCTACTATCTAGTTACTTTTATTCATTGCCTACGGTCTCTCTCTTCGCGCCTTTTTCACAGTAAACACACTTCACTTTTGTCTCTAACGTTCAAGTAATAAATATACCCTGCTGTGTATATTCCTGTGTGTTTCAATACGCCCTGCTAACAGAATATATTTTTCTTTATTAAATTATATAGGTATATTTTAAAGCCAATGCAATTGTACGCGCATTAAAAGCACGTCATACGCGCATTTGCGCTTCTTGGGTAGTGGAGTGGATGAGAGAAATAAAAAAATGAAAGAGGAATATAGACAAGAGACAGAATGAGGGAGTGAGTGTGTGAGTGTGCAGAGGATAGGAATTATTGCAAACCAAGTCTTTATCTCTAGGTCAAAAAGCCGAATCATAATTAATAAAGCATTATACTATACTTCATACTTCATGTTGTTACAAAAATTAATATGCATATCATTTATATTATATACTAAAATTTTACCTGAATATCTTCAGCATACATTCGCTTGTCAATATTAATCGATGAATTTAGGTTATGAAAGTCAGGATCAACATCTTCAGCAAATCGACCTCCCCACAGTTTTTGACAAGACTTTGTATCATCACATGTAAAACAAAAAGTTAATTTACTTATAAACCATTTTTATAATATTATACTTTTATTTTAATAATAAGAAGCTTAAAATTCTATTAAAAGGCGCGATAATGTCTCACGCTAAGTGCATAAATTAGCGACGTACAAACGACGAGACCTAACCCTGTATCTTTATGCAAATTGTCGAGTTGAGAAAGGTCCCGGTTGCACCAATGTCGCGTAATATTTAACCTTAGCTTAACTCACTCTTTGTCTCTTTCTAAGGGGACAATTAGAAAAAGATAAAGAGTAAGTTAAGCTAAGGTTAAATATTATGCGACATTGGTGCACCGAGCCTTAAATTATCAAATCTCAATAATGACAGAAGCGATCAAGTTCTGAGTTGACTCAATCGATAACTTGGGCTTGAATTTGTTCGGAAACAAACGACTTGTATAAATCGCTGAGTTATATAATTGCGGTCGGTTTGCACTTTTCGGCCGATTTTCTTACTGCCATCCCCACTCCTCTCGATTCATAGCGTCTGGGCAGCTCGCGGAGACGAAAGACGCTCGAACTGAGGGACGGTATTAACTGTATATCATATGGCTTTGGTTCGTGTTGCTCTACGTGCTAACCACTGTTTTTTTTTTTTTAATAGAATTATTAATAATGTATTTCAATTTTTTCGACTTAACTGGCAAACGGGTTTCGTACAATCACATTATTATTAATATTATAATCACAGATTATTATTATTAATACTATAATCACAGAATTATTAATATTATAATATCATGTTAAGAGTAATAGTAAAATAGGAATGTATATATTAATTGTACACACACACACACACACACACACGCACACGCGCGCGTGCGCGCGCGCGCACACATACACACACACATATGTATATATGTATGTATGTATATAATGTAAGACTAATATAATATCAGGTTCCATATATAAGTTTATTATATAAAATAAGGCTAATTCTTTACAATAGGGCTTTTTCCGAATTTTGATATTTTCTTGCGCTTCTCTTGGTAAAAACCTTTGTCGTGACTCCAACAGTAATAATCAATTGAGGGAGCCCGAAAAATATGTACCCTACCTATTTTTTTACCAATTTTTTTTCCTATTTTTATACCTGTTTTTTCCAACATGGATTTCCGGATTTTTCGACGTTATAAATATATAGTAACCCTTAAAAGAACCGATTATCTCTGTTCGTATACTGAGAGAAAGTGTCGGTATATTCTGTATTATCCAAACCCTTACGAAAAAAACACCCAAGATTTTGGTGTTTACACCCAACTTTGGGTGTTTACACTCCATTTTCGGTGTCAACGTCTAAATTTTCAGTGTTAACACCGAAATTTGAATGTCGACACCCAAAGTTTCGGTGTCGACACTCAACTTTTGGTGTCAATACCCAAATTTTGGTGTCGACACCCAAAGTTTCGGTGTCGACACTCAACTTTTGGTGTTGATACCCAAATTTTGGTGTCGACACCCAAAGTTGAGTGTCGACACCGAAACTTTGGGTGTCGACACCTAACTTTTGGTGTCGACAATCGGGTTTCAGTGCTGACACCCAATTATAAAACAAAAGATAAAAATTATAAAATGCAAGGTTAAAACTTTAACTTATTATGAGGCCACATTATACATATATCTAACTTTGAATTATATATATATATATATACCCAAGTAGCAGATGATATTTTTAAATGATTTTTTCAATATTTATTTTTCATTAATTATATTATACAACAAAGCAAAAAAAATTTAAAATTTTTTTGCTTTAATTGTCCTAACAATTCAAGTTTAGATTCTACCACAGACTTTACACCACTTGACACTATAATGCACAAATATTTTGATAAATTACAATTAAATTTTTTAAAAGTACCTTTAAATGCTTTGTAAATATCAATGCCGGTTGTTCCACTGTATAGTATGAAATCCGACATTTCTTCAGTATACGAAAAATCGTTTTGCACGATTCACACAAAAATACTGAATTGACTTACATGTTGAACGTTCGTACTCGAGTCACAATGAAAAATACGTGCATGTCTTTAACAACGATGTAAGTTTTTTTTCGATAGCACAAGCTATCATAATAATTCTTGATCTCACCGTGTTGCAAGCAAGTGGCATGTTTTTGATGTCCTCACCCAGCGAAAACAACCTAGGCAAAGTGATGTCAAATTGCCATCAAATTGCCGAGGGGTATGATGTCAAAAGGAGTGATCAAAATGATGGCAAAATGATGGCATCATGACTGCAAAACGTCTCATACCTTGATAGTAATTATGACTGCCATTTTGACGTCTGTTTGATGTCAAATAATTCCCTCTACAGTAATATAAATGCAAAATAAAAATAAAATTAAAACTAAATTACATTAAAAAAAAGACAAAATAAAGACAGAAATATATTGCATAAGGTTTTTTAATCAGATTTAAGCTTTGTTCTTAAATTTATGTGACAGGTAACTTAAAATCATATAGCATGTGACGTTGCACCGTGTGCACGTCACAGTCTTCGCCACTCGAACCTTTATATTGCGCGCGTACTGCCTAGTTAATAGTTTTCAGGAAGAAGCGGCCGGAAGGCCCAATTTGGCAGCGTGGAGCCATCCGCCGGTGCGGCGAAGCGCCCTGATCTAGGGGGCCGCGAGTCGAAGCCGCGGGAATGATCCCGGCATTGTTGGGTCGATCGTGAGCGTGGAAGGACGTCCGGCGAGGACCTCTCCGTTGCGCCGAGAATAAACGTGGGCGGCGGCCCTAGGAGCGACGTTGTGAAGGAAGGAAAGACGAGATGTAAACGACCTGCAATCCCGGACCTCAGGTATCGGGGAACAGCAGGGCGGATTGTCAGGTACCGTTTCGCGTTATTTTTGAGAGAGACGCGTAGGTTTGCTTGAAAGTTTCCTTACCTACGCGTCATTGCCGTGAATCCCTTGTCGGAATTATCGCCTTTTTGTTTCGTTTCTACGGGTAAGACATAGCCCGCCCGCTGACTCCCCGTAAGAATACCGAAGGAGCGTCCGTTTCTTCTCGACTCGACCAGTGTGATATGAGATTTTGCGTGTAATCAAGTAATGACGAATGACCGCGTGGCACCGGCCACGCGTCACGATGGTGGTGCGTGTTGCGTGAGAAAACCTCGCGGATCGGCTCAACAGTCATTAGAGTTAGATTACCATTTAGAGTATTCCGTATTCCGTATTAGTTTTGCGTCTATCAATTTGCGTACCGTATAAGATATCGGCGTTCCCGTTAGTGTTAATTTTGAGTATTTTGTGATGTGAGTCGTGCGTGCTTTCCACGCGTACGGTCATTCTGGGGCGTGTCGGCTTCCTGATACGTTAATTACCGCGCCCGGTACGGGAAGTGTGAGGCGTCGGGGTAACGGATCTGGAGTGAGCTTTTCCGAATAATGTGACCGAAAAACGGCCGCAATTACCGTTCAGAGATTTAGAGTATGATGTAGGGGGAGTCCGGGAGACTTGACCATAGAGGAGAGTTGAACCACTTCAAATATCTCGTTCAAATTTTGAACAAAGAGCTCAATCCGAGCACGTGACAATATGACGCTTGGTAGTGCGTTTCGACTGTGAGTGAGACAAACGTGTTTTAACGTGCTCGGATTGAGCTCTTTGTTCACAATTTGAACGAAATATTTGAAGTGGTTCAACTCTCCTCTATGGTCAAGTCTCCCGGACTCCCCCTACTTCGGCTGAAAGTATTGCGCGCCCCGGGGTGAATCGGGCGCGAGTATCGGCGTGTATCGTTCATTCTGCGAGAAACCTTTATTTTGCGTGTATTGTTCTTTCTGCGAGAAACCTTTGTTTTGCGTGGATCGTTCATTCTGCGAGAAACCTTTATTTTGTGGGTATCGTTCATTCTGCGAGAAACATTTATTTTGCGTGTATCGTTTTTTTCGCGAGAAATATTCCGTTTACGTGCATTGTTCATTGTGCGACCAATATTCCCGTCTTCGAGTTCTCTATTTCGCGCGTATCGTCATTTTGGGGATATTAATCGGCGGCGTATGGTAATAGCGGATCTTCTGTCCTTACGCGTATTAATTTTCCGGCGAATATTTATTCGAGCCACTTTGAGCGGACCCGCGTTGAAGGAGCGCGTGATCAAGACGCGTATTTCGAGTCAAAGGTGGTGTGGCCTTCTTCACACCTGGCGCCCAACATTTTTGGAGATTGTACTTTGCTCTGCTACTCGCTCAACATATTTGTGACGCGGTATATCGGGGCGGTCGCGCATAACCGCCTCGCGGCCGTAGAAAATAGCGTCGCAAGCAGTTAAGCTATCTTATAAACTATAAAGTAGTTAAGATCAACATTAAACGTAAATCAACTTAGTTAACGAATAAACTTACAATTAGTTAATGTATGTATATATGTATGTATGTATATGCTTTATTTTGTCTTCTTAGGGCTTGAAAGGCGTTTTTATTAAGAACGTACCCAAACCTTTACAACAATTTTACATAACCTTTTATCCTAACTTAATCTAGCTTATTTCTACTTAATCTAGTGGTGAGGATGTGGGCTTCTGCCTCTGCATCCGCCCACACCCACACCCGCCGCACGCACACACACACCTCTCCGCAAGGGACTTCCGTTTTCTCTTGCCTCCAAATTTCCAATTAAACAATTAAACCGCTTCTACCCCCCTCTCTCTTCGGCATGCCACTTATTCTCTCTCACTCTCTCCTCACTCATACCTTCCTTCTCCCTCCTTCCTTGATCCTCCACATACCCTTTCCTATCTCTATCCTTCTCAATCTCTCTTATCCACCATTCCCCCTCTTCCCCTCCCGTAGCACCCCTCCTAGCTTCCTGCCAACTCCCCTCTCTTTTGCTCCCATCCCTACAGCGCTCCCACGTCTTCTTTTCCTTGCACAGTCTGCATATTCTTTTCTCCTCCTCCTCCCAATACCTGCCTTCTCTCATTTCGTTCCAATAAACCTCGCTATCCTGCTCCATCTACTTTTCCCCCACCCTTTCTTTAGATACTCCGGTATTCCCTCCTCTTTTACCTCCTTGTACCACTTGTTGTACCTCGATTCTCTTATTCTCTCCCATCTTTCTGCTTTCTGCACCTCTCTTTCCCACCTCACCACCTCCTCCAGCCGTGCCTCTTCCTCCCCCCAGCTCCCTCCTCCCTCTACACACATGCCTCTATCACTGAAAAACTTCCTCCTGCCTTTCTCTTAACTTGAGCTTCCCCCTCCCCCTCCACCTCTCCTTTTCTTTTTTCTCCCCTCTCATCCCTTAGAACCTCTTCCTTCTCATCCTATTTCCAGCATTGCTCATCTATCCATAACCTTCTGTATTCTATCCTCACCCTCCTTCCCCTTCTCTCCTCCCTTCTTGCGATTTCCTCCAACCTCCATCTCATTTTCCTCTCCTTCCACGTCCAGTCTTCCATAATTCTCTCCTTCTTACCCTTCAGCTTTTTCTTTCTCTTCATAATTTCTCCTTTTTGCTCCTCACTCCTCATCCTTACTAAAACCATCTCCCTGTTCTCTTCTCTATCTCCCCCAACTGTTTTCACCTCCTCTCACCCTATATATTTCCTCTCACCCCCAAAATTTTTCACACCTCTTCCATCGTCTCCCTCCTCTTTCCTCCTTTTACCTCCAGCTCTTTTATTATCACGTTTTTTCTCCTCTCTTCACGCTCCTTCTTTTCCAACCTTTTCTCCAAACATCTTACCTTATCCCCCACTTCCCCCCTTTCCACCCTGCTCTCTCTCCTATTCCTCCCCCTCCCTGTTTCTTTCTAGCTGTTCCACCTTCTTTTTCAGGCCCTTTATGCAGCTTAACATCCTCTCCCTCTCTTCCTTCCTTTTCTCCTCTCGCTCCCTACACTCTCTTCTGATCTCTTCCAATTCCTCCCTCATCATCCTCCCCTGCTCTTTAAATCCCTTCTTCACCTTCTCCATCGTTTGTCTAAACTCCTCCCTCTACCCTTTCATCCCCCTCAATTCTTCTATAACCCCCTCTACCTCTTTATGTCCTTCCTCCATTCACTTTTCTCTTTTTTTTCCGCCGCCTAGCGATCTTGGTGGCTTCTTATTACCCTTATCTAAAGTTTTCTCTTCCTCCCCTCCCTCTTGCACTCCCTCGTTTACACTCTTCCTTTTTACCGCGTCCTATGCCTTCCCGACGCTCCCGCTTCTTGCCCTCTGCGCCCCCGCCACCCCTTCATCATACCCCATCTTCCCGATCATTTTGTTTCTTTCTCTACTGTTCTCTACTTTTTCTGCCTCTAGGAAAGTCCCTAGTAGCTCTATATCCCTAGCCGGCCGTCTCACTCACAGCCCTGCGTACAATCTATTCTTCCGCGCTCCGCGGCTGCTTTCCGCTCAACGCTTTCCCCTCTCTACGCTTAGCGTGCTCCTTGCCCGTCCCGCTTTCACGCACGCTTTCCGCACCCTTTTCTCCTTCTTTTCGTTTTTCTCAAGGTCTCCCTCCACTTCCACACGCACTCTCACTCCTCCCCTCTCTCCGTCTCACATGCACACCTCCATCAGCCCTCTCCTACGCTCTCACATACTGCCGAAAAATACTCGCCTAACCATCACGTGTCACACTCTATCGCACCGGAAACGGAAGTTCATAAACTTAAGTTAATGAATAAACTTACAAGTTAACATAATAAACTAAAAATTATAAATTTTTTTGGTATATATATAAATATATATGTATATTACTTATTGTTAGTACCATACTATTATACATATACATCATATATACAGGGTTTACGAAAAGTATGGCAACCCCTAAATATTTCGAAAATTACGCATTTTAGAAAAAAATGTTTCAGACAAAAGTTGTAGAGTTTTATTTGTTAATGCCAGGTAAAAATAACTTTAACCCTTAAATGCCGCACCTCTCAAAAATTTTGTAAATGACATGAGGGGTCTAAAAGACCCCAGCATGAAAAATGTCTCCCTACTCATTGATTTTTTTATCTTTAGTTATGAAAATTTTTTTTAATGTTGTTCAAGGCTTAGAAAAAAGAATAAAATGCTTATATTGTTAAAATTTCAACTTCAACATAGTATAAAAAATTAAGTAAACTGAGTACTGCTAAGTGTACAAACGGGTAGGTCAATCACTCAACTATCATCAATGGGAGCATGAGCTCCATTTTTGGCAAAAACATTTGAAAATATATCATTGTAAAGGGTCTGGGGTCCGCTGGACCCCAGAGGTCATTTAAGGGTTAAAATTTTTAAATAAAAATCTCTATTTTTGATTGCATATTCTTATCGCATACCTCGAGAGCTTTTCAAAACACTATAATAAAGTATTTTTTTATTAAAGTTACGAAGCTTAAAAGTTCTAGTATCGCTGACCCTCTCCCACGGGATCGACACTCCGAGAGAGTATAAAACGCAAGCGCCAAGATGTTCAGTGTTCTTTTCTCGCGCATAATTACGTGGGTAGGGTGATAGCGTTGTAGAGCGCTCTCTGCTTCAGTCGAGGACTTTTGTCTTTTTAATTCGCAAATTAATAAATTAAAAATTAAACGTTTGGCTGAATTATCTGTCAATAGTATGAATGTTAGTTTATCTTGTCAAAGGAGGAATGCTAATATTCAATTGATAGTTAAATCCCGATCTAGATGGAAAAAGAGACAGAGAATTTTCCGATGGAGGAAGAGAGTCAAGACGCATTAGTAGACTATGACAGCGAAGACAGTGTTGTCACAGTAATAGAGAGAGAAAGAGATAGCGAGGAGACAATAAGAAAAGATAGAGGTAAGAGAGTATTTCTTTTGAAAATAAAGCAATCTAGAAGGATAATATACATGTGCATTCAGAGAAAATAAAAATAGTAATTGAAAAACTTTGTATAGAAAAAAAAAAGAAAAAGGAGGAGACTAAAGGAAAAGATGCAATACCAAAACGCAAAGAGATACCGAAAATGAATGCGGTATCTAATAAATTAGAGGCGTCGTTGAAAACACTGGAAAAAGTTATGGCCTAAGCCAATTCAATGATGGAGAATATGGTAGAAGTCTCTCTTGTGAATTTCGAAAAAGAGAGAGTAAAACTTAAACGTTTAGAGGTAACCAAAAAAATACGCAAAGTTCAGTAGAGAATAGTATACAAACGGTTAAAGAATTAGAAGTAAAGTCTAAAAAGAGAAAGTTAGATGAAACAACAGTCTGTTCAGTCGGAAAAAATAAGAAGTTTAGAGACAATTAAAAGCGCATTAGAGGTGGAATTAAACAGTCAAAGGTTGTTCATAACAAATGAAAAAGAAAAGAGAGTCATTAAATTAACAAATGTAATTGCAACGAAAGAAGTATCCGAACATTTATTATTTCTAAGAAAGTTGGCTGATGCGGGGATTCAGTATTTATTTAGATGATAAATTGTTCAAGGTTTACAATAAACTGACAAATAAAATAGTTTTTGAAGGAATTTATGAGAAACCAAATTGGATTATACAATTTGAGGTCAAAAATAATCTCTAACTTAACTCAAGTAACATGTATTAAAAAAAAAAGATGTAAAATCTTTAATTTCTTCTTCACAAAATTATATTACCTAACTTAACTCAAGTGACATGTATCTAACCTAAGTGGCAGCTTTATATCTTTTTCACAAAATTATATTACCTAACAATTTAAGTAACATGTATTTCAAAAAAAGATGTAAAATCTTTAAATTAAATTGCGCCAATTGTAAAGAGAATATGTATATTGCTTTGAAAGATAATTGTTATGCAACTACTTTAAAGACATAAAATTCAAGTGGTATCTTTGTATTTCTATTCAAGAGTCTTCCTATTCTAAACCCAAGTGATAATAGCTTCTTAATTCTCTAACAAATTTTTAATATTACAAAGAATCATTTTAATTACAAAGAATTAAAGAAGTAACAGTACAAAATAAAAATATTTAATTAAAACAAAATAAATAAATTTTTCTTGTAAAAAAACTTGGCGCTGCTAGACTTTGAAATTTAAACATTAGTGTACTAAAATTTTTGATGGAATAAAAAAACAATAAACATAATTTAGGGAAGAATGCGACAGGAGTAAAAAAGCAGCGCTAAGTTTTTTTACAAGAAAAATTTATTTATTTTGTTTTAATTAAATATTTTTATTTTGTACTGTTACTTCTTTAATTCTTTGTAATTAAAATAATTCTTTGTAATTTTAAAAATTTGTTAAAGAGAATTAAGAAGCTATTATCACTTGGGGTTAGAATAGGAAGACCCTTGAATAGGAATACAAAGATACCACTTAGGTTTTATTTCTTTAAAGTAGTTGCATAACAATTATCTTTCAAAGCAATATACATATTCTTTTTACAATTGGCGCAATTTAATTTAAAGATTTTACATCTTTTTTTGAAATACATGTCACTTGAGTTAAGTTAGGTAATATAATTTTGTGAAGAAGAAAATAAAAATTTCACATCTTTTTTCTTTAAATACATGTCACTTGAGTTAAGTTAGGTAATATAATTTTGTAAAAAAAATATAAAGCTACCACTTAGGTTAGATACATGTCACTTGAGTTAAGTTAGGTAATATAATTTTGTGAAGCAAAAATTAAAGATTTCACTTTTTTTTTTTAAATACATGTCACTTGAGTTAAATTAAATAATATAATTTTGTGAAAAAGATATAAATAAGCTACCACTTAGGTTAGATTTTTGAATTTACAAAATATATTGCGTGTACTTGGCACTTTTTTTTACCGTTTATGAAAAAGGTAATTTTGTACTGATATCACCTATTTTGTAGTGTTAAACAAGAATCTGCAAAACATTTTTATTTTTTATTTTTTAATTATTTACAAAATTAGCAATAACAACAAATGCATAAAAATTAATAATATTTAAGTAAAAGTAAATTATACATTTCTCACAAAAATTGAAAGAACACTAAATTTATCTTTAAAAATAGGCAAAATAATTCAAGCAGCTGTAACTTTGTTAAAAATGAATAAAATTTAAATTTTATGCTTAAAACCTCTACTTTTGAAAGGTTACTATTATTTTTTAGTTTTTGTAAGTTTGGTAACTTTTGCATATAGAAAACTACGAGCTGGACAAAATAGAAAATTTTTCTCTCACTTTGTAGGCCTGTCACGTGCAAAAAAAAATCTGCGAAAATTTTCAATTTTTTAATGTGAAAGCTTGAAGTTTTCCTTCCAAAATCTTCTTTTAAAAATGTTTCTACGTGTCTGCATTGTTGTTCTGTACAATTGTTTTCTGGGTCAAAATGAAAAAGATAAGAATCGCTAATTTTTACATTATTTTCATCAATTTGTATCATATCTACGTTATTTTAAAAAATTTGGCAATTATACCGTTCAATAGAGCAAAGTTTCAGCTTTAAGAATCTGTTTTTTAAATTGCAATACGATGATTTCTAAGGGAGTTATGAGCAATCAAAGACAAAAAGCTTATTTCTTGTTCAATTCGCGATAAATTAGTAACAAAAAATTGTAGAAACATTTTTAAAAAACGATTTTGCAAGGAAAACTTCAAGCTTTCACGTTAAAAAGTCGAAAATTTTCGTGGATTCTTTTTGTGAACATGACAGGCCCATAAAGTGAAAGAAAAAATTTCTATTTTGTCCAGCTCGTAGTTTTCTATATGTAAAAATTACCAAACTCACAGAAACTAAAAAATAATAGTAACTTTTTGAAAGTAGAAATTTTAAGCTTTAAAATCCTTTTTTTAAATTTAAATTTTGTTCATTTTTAACAAAGTTACAGCTGCTTGAATTTTGTCTATTTTTAAAGATAAATTTAGTATTCCTTTAATTTTGTGAAAAGTGTAGATTACTTAAAGAATTAGTAATTTGTCAGAGAAAAATATCTAGTTTGTGAAAGTTATATAGTATTTAGGTAAATATGAATTAATTTCTTTTGTAAACTGGTAATTAGTAGAAATAAATTATTTATTATTAAAATAACTAATAGATAGTTTATAAAAAATAAATAACTATTTATTTGAAAATTAATATAATTAGTAAAAAATAATTATTAATTTTTTCAATAATAAATAAATAGTCTCAGATAAATTACTTATTAATCAAATATATACAGTATATATGCGTACATCTGGATTAATTCGAAAGCTTAGTCTCCATCTTTTGAAACATAAAATAGGGTGTGTAAGCCGTGCGTAAAGATGAAAATTCCCGGGTACGGTTACCGCACCCGGGAATTTTCATCTTACGGCACTTGTTACACAAATAACTATTATGCCATGACAGTGAAGTGCGGAATACAAATACTGAAAAATAATGTTCAAAAGACGAATCTTTAAATGAATTAGCAACCTTTAAATAATGTGAAAAGATGACACGAGATGTTAAATAAAATTCGCCATTTAACAATAACTTTTTAAGTAACAAGTTTAATCTACGGTGATCTAAATTAAATGTGAAAAGAAATTAAAATATTTTAATGAGTTCTCGAATCGTCCCCAATCAGAAATAGATATTAGTCACGTAGAAACAAATTTCCTAATTCGTCTGAGTAATTCGATACAAATGTTCTAGTTTAAATGTGACACTACTTTGTAAAATGTTAAGTTATTGTTTTCTCTACTCTACGATCAATATAGCAATCTTTATAAATTTCTTTCTTTCTAAATATAAATATTCTACACAATCGGAAAAATATTTTACAACATGAGTAAAGAACAAAATCAAAAAGCGAAATAATCAATTTTGACGCGATTAAAGGGGATCATTAATGGCGATTGTATTAAACTCTAGTCCATACTAACTAAAAATCGCGGATTATGCGTGAAAATTGTAGAATTGTTTCTTGATAAGTCTTATGTATACAGATGGATTCAAATGTTTCTGGCTTCCTCTGGTCCCATGCTACTTGTTCAGCATGTCCGTTCGTTACCAGTTCTTCAGTAAGGGAAATTAGCTTAAACAAAATCAATTAATTTCAATTAATTTGCGCATCTGCAAAGAGATTTTCGAAGATTGGATAATAATAACCACTTACCTCATAATTTTGTATCATAAAATAAATATTTGCAAAAATATTAGTTTGAATGCGACCTTCAAACTGAGCTTGAGCAGCAACTCCCTTTGAGGAACAATTTTGTACCACATTGTAAGCTTCTGTCGACCATTTACCTGCAAAGGAGTAACATCAAAGTACAATTACATATCCAAAGATAAATAATTTTGAATAGAGATGTATAATCTGGAAGAATAGTACATATAACGTCAATATATAGTTACCGTTCTTTGGTTGAATATTTGCTAAAAAGATTTCGATGGCTTGGAAGGGTAGCAAGGGTAGGCTCAAATAATTATATATCAATGGCCTACATTACGAATTACTAAACTGCCAGTAACCACCGTGATCGAATAATCGTACTATGCTTCTCTCTCCCGATGGATCTGGACGTTCAATGCATCCTCTAATCCATTTGTCCTTCCAATATACAGCCACGTAATCATCCTCTACAAAGTAAAAATGTATTGTACAATCAGAATATCCTGATTTCATTTTATTCAACGTGTTAAGATTATATCACTTACTGTTTAATACATCTAAAACTGGCAGCAATTCATTGTTATACCAACCAATACATCATGCTGTTTTTCAAATTTTGCAAAAGGAGAAATGATAACAGGGGCCGTTGAATTGGGACATTATACACAACTTCTTCGATCACCTCGGCTATTGTCGCGATATATATTCACGCCAAACCGCATATATAACATTGTGTTATTTTTACATTTAGGAAAATTATTTCATATTAACTCAATAGGCGTTAAACTTGCATACTGTGACGACCACGACGATGTCCTCACGGTCTCGCCGGCCGTGAAGGAGCGCGCCGTCGCTTTGTTCACTAAAGATTTTACGAAAAATCAATCACGACAAGACTCTCAGAAACCCAGATGGTAGCTCGACTAAATTCCTCGAAATGTTGGGTGCCAGGTGCGAATCCTCGCACCACGATCCACAAGATCGCTATTCTCTCAGGTGTGAGTTTCTTCGGGTAATCGCGGTCGGAGGAGGAAAGGGAACGTAGCACAGTTAACACACGCAAATAACAATAATACAAAAATAATGTATTTGACAGAAAAGATTACGTGAGAATAAATCAGCAAGTTGTTTCAGACTGAATCGGTGAATTACAATTTGTCTCTCAGATATTTTTCTGCGGAACGCGGGAACTATGAGATACAATAACGCGGACATTAGTCTAAGGACGCAACTTATAAGACGCAGTTACACGACCGCAATATACAATACGCGATTACACGAACGCAAGACACAATACCTACGCGCAACGACTTCCCAACTGCCAAATCGTTCCCAGTTGGTAGTCCCGAAAAGACACAATACCTACGCGCAACGACTTCCCAACTGCCAAATCGTTCCCAGTCGGTGGTCCCGAAATGACCATCCGCGACGTCTCGCAAATGGTCCCAAAATGGCTAGACGCGGGCCTCCCGCGAAAAGCCCCAAAGATCCAAGACCGGTGCCTCACGCCCCGGGACGTGATTGCGCAAACATTACTCCCCCGTTCTGCGACAATACGGTCCACCTCGGCGCGAAGGACACCTCGCTACATTACGCACCATGGTTACACAAAACGCTATTACACGAAACACGAAGACACGACGAAAACTACAACGAATCACACGATGACTGTCGGCCGCGTACGATTTTTCGGGCAGGGCGATCCCACATTACTCTGTTGGCCGGGCCCTCCGTCAGTATTCCATTCAATAATTATTTACTCGATAATACTCATATGCACAAACGCGATGCTACAAAATACTTCGCGACACAGTACGCGATTCTCTAAGCACGCTTCCCGCAATCTACGCGGCTCTCGGAAGGGCCCAGGCCGTCAGAATGATCTTACGTGTACTCAAACGTGAGTTACGAGGTACTCGAGTAGTGGCCTTACAAATTCCGCAGCTCGGCTGCCGGTCCTCTCGGGATGTCGTCCCTTGCCACGCCGACACGACAGTGACGATCCTCTAGCTCGGCGGGATCACGTCGGGCCCGCGCCTGCGCGCGCCGTGCTTGCAAGCCCTCCTTGCCGATCAGCCCTATGCGAGCCGAGCGCCTCCCGCTTCCGTCGGCGCCCCTCGTGGCTTCCTCGCTCGCCGGCGGCAGGTTTGAAAAGCCTATTCTCGAGTCCGGCTGACCGGGCCGCGACTCTGGTGCCGGTGTATGACGGCCAAGCTGGCCAGGCCATGGCTCCGTCGACCGGTAGGCAATGCTCCGTGGCGATCTCGCGATTCGGCAGGCTTCATCCCGGCGAACATCGGGGCTGATGCGCTCGCCCTGCGAGACGCTCCAAGCAACGTCGGCATATGGGCCCAATCGTGACCCGCCCGCCGGCCAACTCCTACGTAGAACGCCTCCCGTAAACTCCCTCGGCGCGACTCAAGTCGTTACAATTTCCTCCTGGCCATCTACTCGATACCTAAAATCCTCGAAAATAATATAAGGTACCGAATTCTAACGCTGCCGCCCCGCCTCGCTCCGGCGGAGACGACATCCCGGACGTTCCCCCCGGTCGAGCTATCGTCTGGACAGGGGACGTGACTATGTCACGTCACAATACATAAGTGAATCTCGCGTTTTATGTAAAATAAGAAACCGGTAATCTAACCTATACTACGTTTACGCGAACGTTACTTAATTCTGTAGTAACTTATACGAACGATACGATAATTCCTCTGCATAAACGGGAGATTTTATAGTAACTACAATGATATCGTTCGTATAAGTTACTACAGAAGTAATACTCACGTAAACGTAAACTACTATAATTCCTGTCACATGCACTTATTGTTAGTCGCGTAAAAGAATCACGGTGCGGTCTCGCTTCGCGTCGTATAATAATAAATAGGATAATTACATGTAAATAAATAAATAAAACAATTACCTTGAATCAGAAAACCCAGAAAACGAAAAAAGATTGAAAAAAATTAAAGCGGGATTGCCAGGAATTCAATTAAGGACTTTCCGAATTCCATTTTGTCCAAAAAAGGAATTGAAATAGTTTCAATATCATAGAATTCCTTATTTTGAAAAGAATTTGTCTTTTTTGAATCCCATCCAATTCCGACACAAAAATATTATACCACTGAATGTCAGGTTAGGGATTGGAAAGTTTCGTGATGAATTCCATTGAATACCATTGATTCCGTTAACGAAATGAATACCACTGAATGCCAGGTTAGGGATTGGAAAGTTTCGTGATGAATTCCATTGAATACCATTGATTCCGTTAACGAAATGAATACCATTGAATGCCAAACTAGGAATTAAAAATTTCCGTATTGAATTCCATTGAATTCCGTCTATTCTGACAATAAAATGAATACCATTGAATGCCAGGATAGGGATTGAAAAGTGTCCGTGTTGAACTTTGTGGCGGTACGCGCCACCAATAGTACACGCCCGCGCGGTATCTGCATTACCGGCAGTTCGCGTCGACGCCGCCAGGCGTCGCATCGCCGGGGCATCTTCTCGAGTTCAAAGTTTTGTCTCGACCGCTATGTAAAGGGACCCCCTACGGGGCCTGACAGATCTTACAAATCTCATTTTCGAGCTAATTGCCCGTCGGCAGTAGTGCGTGTAATGCCCTTAGGCATACACAAAAGCTCACCGACGAACAACGGCGCTTGGTCGCCCAACGGAGGCGCGAGACGTTTCCTAAACCATCTAATGCCATGCAATTCTATAACCTTTACGGATTCCATAGGATTGGATGGAATTGAAAATTTCTTTTTTGGATTCCATGGGATTGGACCATCTCATTTCGAATCTCATCTAATTTCATCTAATTCCGCCAAAAAAGGGATTCAAAGATATTAAAAAATTTTAATATTTTTTAATCCTTTTGCGTTTGCTGGGAAGATATTAATCGTCGCTTCGCGTAAAGAGTCACAGTCGGTATCGCTCTGCGCGTACTTGACGCGAGACCGGCGAGACATTTTTTTTTTTTTTTTTTTTTTTGAGGTTAGTTTTCTTGGCTGAGAGAAACTTAGTGCTTTCGGTCCCACCCTGGAACCATACGACACAACGATGCTTGACTCTGATTATATTTGTCTTCTTGTTTAAATAATCCTTCCTATCCTTTTAATATAATTGTATATGTTTCTGATTGTAATCCATTCCTTTCTTCTGAGTGTCCTTGTAATGTCTATCTCCTCACTTATTCCCCTCAGTCTGAGGTCCCCATCCTGAGGTCTCTCCCTCTCCTCGTCATACCTGTTACATCTCCATAACACGTGATCAATACTTTCGCATTCGTTGCCGCATTCGCACCTGGCGTCATCCATGTACCCCTTTCTTGCTAGTGACTCGTTGACGTTGTAGTGATTGCTCCTCAGTCGGTTAATTAACGTTATAAAATATCTTTCTTCATTCTTTTCATGGAACCATGGCTTCTTTTTTTTCTTTTGTAGAAGTTTTTGAAATAATAGATTCCTTTAAATCTAGCATCTTTAACTAAGGAATCTTGTGTTTTATTCCAAATTTCTTTTCTGAATTCCTGACAAAAATTCAGAAATTGTACTTCTATATGGTCATCTGCTTCCTCTTCTGTCGCCTTCTTTGCCAATTTGTCCGCCATCTCATTGCCACTTATCCCTACGTGTGATGGAATCCACATGTAGACAATCCTTTTCTTTTTTTCTTTACAGAGTCTAAAGTGTCTTTCTCTTATTTCGTTGATATACCTGTTTTTGTATACACTTAAATGGTTATTACGTATTGCTTGTAATACTGCTCTGGCATCTGTTAAAACTGCTATATCTCTTGGTCTACTGTCCGCTTCGTTCTCCATAATTTCTAAGGCTGCTTTAACTGCTATGGCTTCTGCGGTGAAAGTAGAACAATTCTTCGATATGCTAATATTATACGCCTCCTTTTGTTTTTCTATTACCACACTGGCGCCCAATGATTTGCCACCTCTTTTCTTGGATCCATCTGTATAGATTATCGTGAATCCTTCTTCCATGTCATGAGTTGTTTTAATTTTCTCCAACAATTGCGCATTTGTCACTCCTTTCTTCTTCCGATAGTATCCAATACTTAAATCTATATTTATTTTTTGTGTAACCATATCATATTCCATATCAAATATTTCAAATTTTCTTCTTGCTCCCATTTTCTTTCTACACCATTTTATTCTTCTCCATGCTTCTCTTATAATACTTCTTTGGTGTAACGGTTGTCTATATCTAGCATAGTCTTCGTTTTGGACTAACTCTTTTATCTTTGTACATAAATCCTCCTCTCCGTATATACTAATCTTACTTAAACAATTCCTAGCTAATATTTCTGCTCTATCCCTGAGTAAGGTTACTTTTGCTTCCGCAATTATCACATTATTTGGAGTACTATTTCTATACCCTAATGCTGTTCGAATTCTTAAATTTTGTGTTCTTTCCATTTTTAATTTCTGATCTTCCTTTTTTAGGAAATATACAAAATTCCCATAATCTGTAATTGATCTAATCAAACTTTTATATAGCATTAATGCTATGTTAACTTCCATACCTTTCGATTTCTTATTTAAATACACCATTAACGAATTTGCTTTACTAACTTTACTTTTTACTTCTTGAACCTGTTTTATAAATTCTAATTTACTATCTAACCATATTCCTAAACAAGTTAAGAAATAATTGGCTATGAGAGCCGACGCAGGATCGAATATGCAAAAAAATTATATTTGCAGTCAAAACATTAAAACATTAAGATCAATCAAACGTTTCGGCCCTAAATCGGTTTTGACTGCAAATATAATTTTTCCGCATATTCGATCCTGCGTCGGCTCTCATAGCCAATTATTTCTCAACTTGTTTTACTCAGAGCCTACCATATACGTTTGTATATTCCTAAAAATTTAGCCTCTGATTGTGCACATATTCTCGTATTTTTTAATTCTATGTAAGTATTATTACATCCACCGTATCTCGAAAATTGTACTAATACTATTTTCTTTGGTTCTAATTGAAGTCCTAACTCTGTAAGTTGTTCATTAATACTATTCACAGTCTTTTCTAATATTCGTTTATTATTATCCCTATTATGTCCTTTGACATATGCTGCTATATCATCTGCAAATTGCACTGATTCGTATTCTATCTGTTCTTTGTTAGTTACATTATATGTATATAGCGCGTACAATAATGGACTAAGTACAGCTTCCTGAGGTAATCCTCTATATACTCTTCTATATTCTGATTCTTGACCATTAATAATAAATTCCGTGTCTCTATAATATAGCCATTTACCTATATACTTTCTAATATTTACCGGAAATTTTAGTTTCTTTAAAATTGTCATTAATATACTATATATTACATTATCGTATGCTGAGGAAACATCTAAGAAGGCTGCCAAAATATATTGATTTGTATAAATACCGTTCCTTATATCTGTTGTTAACCTGACCAAATTTTCCTTGCACGACCTGCCTCTCCTAAATCCATTCTGGTCCCTCGCTAGCTTGTTATTTCGTTCCGCCCACCAGACCATTCGCTCATTCACCATTCTTTCCATGACTTTTCCTACACAGGATGACAGTGCAATTGGTCTGACTTTTTCTTTTCCAGCCTTGTCAATGAACATCGTTTGATATTTCCTCCAGTCTTCCGGGAACCAGTCCGTAGTCCATACTTCATTACATATTTCTAGCAACACCTCCTCCATCTCTTCGGTCAGATCCTTCAGCATATTATATTCTATTCCATCTCTTCCTGGTGCCGAATTTTTCTTAATCATTTGTAGTGCTCTTTTTAGTAATTATTCAGTTTAGGGGCCTCACCTCAAATCTCGATGTAATTATGCTCAATCGACGCGTTTTTGTACAAAACGAAAGAATCTGGCAGAAAAAAGTGTCGCTTTGCCCCGCGACGCGAGATATTAAACGATAAAGTTGACAGGAATCAGGTTATGATTCCTGTCATACCGACGAGCTGTAGCGACTACTGGCGACTACGAACATGCCCTGTGGCCACATGCGCATGCTCAGTGGCCGCACGCGCATGCAAAACTGCGCTAGTTTTAAATATGTATTTAAAAGAAACTATATAAAACAAATGAAGCGCGACAATAGCATTACTGTTAGATGCGAAATTGCATACCACCTTGCCACGCAATGTTAGGCTTAATAGAATTTGGGTATTTGACAAATTGTCAGGATAAGCTAATAGATTTTTTAATCCAGCATGGTGTTCTAACATCTACAATTAAATGTAGTGAATGTGGTAGTGACATTGATATTGATAAAGAAACTTTAAAGTACCGATGTAGAAAACGGTACTACGTAAAAAATGAGCACAAGAAACGTGTCTCGAAGCAGTGCAATTTTAAGAAAAGTGGCAAAGCTGGTACTTGGTTCGGAAAAAGTCATCTTGACGTGGCAACAATATGTAAAATTGTTGCCTGCTTTCTAATGCTAAAACATCCACGTCAAGATGACACGCAAGATGAAACTGGCGTTTCATCGTCGGCCACGATTGTTGACTGGTTCAATTTTTGCCGAGAGGTAATTATATTTTAACATATTTTCATAAATACACGCACGCACGCACGCACGCCGCACGCACGCGCGCACACACACATACACAAACATGTAAAATGTATAAAACAAAATATTAATAATATTATTTCTTCTTACAGGTCTGTGTGTTCTGGGCTGAAAAACATAGTGAGAAATTTGGTGGCCCAGGATGCATAGTAGAAATCGATGAAGCAAAAATTGGAAAAAGAAAATACAATCGTGGTCGGCTCGTAAAAGGTCAATGGATTTTCGGAAGATATGAGCGAAGCACAAAGAAGATTTTTATCGTGCCAGTACAGGATCGAACTGAAGAGACACTTCTGGCGTGTATCAAAGAGTGGATATTGCCAGGCACCACCATCATGTCAGATTGTTGGAAGTCCTATAATTGTTTAAACAATAAAGGCTTCCAACATCTAACGGTAAACCACTCATACAATTTCGTCGATCCCGAAACTGGTGAGAACTTTTTGCCATAGTTAACTATATTATTACTGTTTATTTGTATATTGTTCTGATACATTTTTTAAATCTACAGGCGCGCATACGCAGCATATAGAGCGTGTTTGGAGAGAAGTTCGCGGAAATATCCCAAGGTATGGAACCAGGGAAGATCATGCCCTTGGATATTTGAGCGAATATCTCTTCAAACGCGAAGAAATCTTCTTTGATGTCATCGCAGAATTATATCCTCCGACATCCACTTTTGAGGACCAGCCAGAAGCATCTGATGACGAACCAAGTACCAGCACTGCTTAGAGATACGTTTCTTGTTCTCATTTTTTACGTAGTACCGTTTTCTACATCGGTACATTTATGTTTGTTTATCAGTATCAATGTCATTATCACATTCACTATATTTAATTGTAAATGTTAGAAAACTATGCTGGATTAATAAATCTAATAACTTATCCTGACAATATGTTGCATACCTAAATTCTATTATACCTAACATTATTCGGTTTACAACTTGCATATACTTTAAGTTGTAAAGCGAGGTCCTCGCTGCCTACCGGCGGGGCGGGTGCGGGGGAGGCAGCGTGGACCTCGCTATTAGTTTAATTATGCGTGGGAAGCACACGTGTCCACGCGAAACAAGGTGCCACATGGGTTCATGACGCGCTTTACAACTTAGCATGTACTTTGTTGTAAAGCGCGTCATGAACCCATGTTGGTGCAAGGGGGCTTACATGCGTGAGCGCACGTGAACAGGAAGGCTTTTTTCCCCTGCACCCCCCCTCCATGCATGTACTTTATAATTTCGCTTTACAACTTAGCATGTACTTTATGTTGTAAAGCGAGGTCCACGCTGCCTACCGACGGGGTGGGTGCGGGGGAGGGGGGGCCGAAGGCCCCCCCTTGCACGCCCCGTGTGTGTGTGTGTGTGTGTGTGTGTGTGTGTGTGTGTGTGTGTGTGTGTGTGTGTGTGTGTGTGTGTGTGTGTGTGTGTGTGCGTGTGTGTGTGTGTGTGTGTGTGTGCTTCCCACGCATAATTAAACTAATAAAACTCCCAGCGTGAGACCTAATTGCTTGAATCGAGATGCTTCTGCACGATTAATTCATTTAAAATTGGCGCAGTTTTGCATGCGCGTGCGGCCACTGAGCATGCGCATGTGGCCACAGGGCATGTTTGTAGTCGCCAGTAGTCGCTACAGCTCGTCGGTATGACAGGAATCATAACCTGATTCTTGTCAATTTTAACGTTTAATATCTCGCGTCGCGGGGCAGAGCGACACTTTTTTCTGCCAGATTCTTTCGTTTCGTACAAAAACGCGTCGATTGAGCGTAATTACATCGAGATTTGAGGTGAGGCCCCTAAACTGAATAATTACCCTCTTTTTAATTCTTCTCTTGTAAACTTATCTTCTAAGCTGTCTTTCATATTGTGTATCCCTTCCTGGTCCAACATTTCTACTTGAAAACTTGGTGGTGCTAGTTTATCAATTTCTTTTCTAATTTCTTCTTCTCTATTTTTGTTCGTCCAGCTGTTCCAATTTATCTTCTTTTTAACATTTTTAAAAATTCTCATTTTATTCCAAACATATGTCTGACTCGTAAATCTGTTAATTGATGCACAGAATTTATCAAAACTTTCTCTTTTCTTTGTATTAATAATCTTCTTTGCCTTCGCTTTTCTCTTGTTTTATTCTACTAATGAATGGAAATCTTTCTTTTTTTTTTAAATTATTTAACGCTTTTTGTCTTCTTGTTATTGCTTCGTCACAATCCACATCCCACCATAGAACTCTTTTTCCTCTAGATTTTTCTTCTGTCTTTCTTTTGAAGGAGTTTGTGACGTCGAATCAACCGCCACTACGCTCCCGGCACTACGGCAGCACTATTGCGCTCGGAGCGCTCTATATTTCCTGCTCTTACTTACTTACACTTCTAGTAATTTTCTTTTCACACTGAGTGCAGCTATGCAGTCCTTTGCTAACCATTGTAACGTACTGACGCATTGACGTGCCAAGGAAATAAAGGCATATATTTTATCCATAAAATATCCTGTTACTTGCTCACCCTATCATCTTTTATTCTGTTCCTCTTTTTTATTCTGATCTCTTGTTTTTCTTCCATCTTCGGTGATGTTTTCGATCGTTGTTTTAATTACCTTGATAAAAGCTGAATATTTTTCTTCCTTGTTGATCTTATTTCCCAATAAAGTCTCTTTATATTCTTCCATGTTGTCCTTAATTATTTGTTCCATTTTATATTTATACTCTATCCATCTTGTTTTTTTTAGAAGAAAATCTATTCGTTTTCTTCATGTAGCTTTCTATTTCTGTTGTTAACCGTATTTCTACTGGATGATGGTCTGAATCCCAAGTGTCATTAATTTGTTCGTATTCAATATTATCACATATTCTTGAGGTGGCGAAAAATAAATCTAAATTATTTGAATGTTGTCCTATTGCCCCCACTCTTGTTAATGTATTTAAATTGACACATATATATTCATTATCGTACATGTTTTCATATAAGTATTCTCCTTGTTTGTCTATATCATAGCAATTCCATAATGTATGATGTGCATTAAAATCTCCTGCAATAATTGTCTCTAAGTTTTTAGTCTCAAATTTGAATATGTCTTTCCATATTTTATCTGTTATTTCTCCCGGTCTTCTCTATATATTGCAACAATATTAAATTTTTTTTTTGTATTAATAAGTCTTACACCTATAATATCAAATATATCATTTACTTTTTGCCAACCATTTATGATTTCAAATTCTATATTTTCTTTAATACTAATTGCAACTCCTCCACTATTACCTCTACTTAATTTACAGTACGATTTAAATCCTGGTATATATATGTTATTTTTATTACACTTTGTTTCTGTAAATATAATTATATCGTATTCTTGTGCTCTTTTTATTATCTCATTTTTCTTACCGTAAAATCCTCTGCAGTTCCAATTAACTATTCTTAGATTGAACTATTCTTAGATTGCCAAAATCTTGTTAACGCTGTGAAGAGTCCGCTCGAACTCTTACACGCGCTATCTGTTGCTCTTGATCTCTTCTAAAATCTCTTTTCATATCGCTAACTATCATCCTTTGTTTTCTAATTTTTTCCTCTAGTTCTAATTCCTTTTTCTTTTGTAATATGTCTTGTTTGATCTTATATTTATCTCCCTGATTTCTTATTTCAAGTTCCTTTTGTTGGATCATCTCCTATATAGTTCTTCTGAATTCCCAATCTTGATTAGCATAATATATTAATTTCAAAATTTAAAAACTATTTAATTTAGAAATTACATCAACTGACCAAAACCATGGTCAAAATTAATAATGTCTCGATGATTGATCCGAAAAAAGTGCTGTGTGAATCCGACAAACCAAGTTGGCTCACAGTTTTTCAATGTTCATATCGAAAAGACGTTATATATTGCCAGTCACGGTCGATTTAAATTACTTTAATTGTTAATTTATATTAATTTCGCTGCTAGGCTTGTAATGATGTCTCGATCTCTGTTCATGCCTACTGGAATATTTATTTCTTCTTCTCTCTGACCTTGTCTTTCTTCCTCTGGAGTATTATTTTCCGATTCTTTCTCTGATGTTTCTTTATCCCATCTTTCTGGTTGTTTTTCCACTTGTTTTAGGGCTATTCCTTTTTTATCTTTTGTAATTTCTTCTCTTCTGTTATCGAATTGTTTATAGTAATTTTCTTGTTTATTCTTCTGTGTCATTAACTTGTCTTTATATGTATTAGTTTTCTTCGTGTATCTATCTTCCCTATCCTCTTCGTATGTTATTAATTTTCTGGATGTCTGTGGATCCTCCCATCTTCCTTCCATCTCCTGTCTTGGTTGTGAAAGTTTTGGCCATTGAGCCGGTGTTTCATATCTATCATATGTTTGTTCTTGTACTTTATCTTGTTTTTTCCCAGCCAGTATTCTTTCTGCTTTCATACAAGATACATTATTAAGTCCCATTGCCAGATTTTTATTTTTATTTTTCTCATATTTTCTGCACATTCTCCATGTAGATATGTGGTTGCCTCCGCAATTTCTGCATTTTGTATCTCTCGTGCAGTTTCCATGTCCCAGATCTCCACATATTATACATCTCTCTTTACTCTTACATAGAGCTTTTATGTGGCCAAATCTGAAACACTTGAAGCATTGTTTGACCGATGCTATGAACGGTCTAACTTTTATTGCTGTTCTACGTCCAAACAGATCTAGACTTTTCCGAACTTTATCGCCCATAAAAGTAATTATTAGATTTCCTGTATCCTCTTCTGTCAGAATCTTCTTTTCTTTATCCCACTTTTTCCTGTACATCTTTCCGATTTTTAGAACGTCATCGTGGTCGTCCATTGACTCCCATAAATCTGGAGTGCTATCTCCTCAGTCTGTGATTACCCCGACAAATTTCGATCCCCTTTGGTCAATTTCTGCCGATAATCCTGTTTCCTTTGTAAGGTTATTGATTCCTTCTAAACAAATATTTGCGTTAGTACAGTTATTAAATTTACAAATAACCGTTGTATGTGATAACATTATGATATCTTTCGGAAATATTTTTTCCCTTGTTGCTATTTTCTAAATTTTAAATCGATTCTTACTTCTTTTTGTCTGTACTTTATCTTTAATCATTCAGTTTAAGTACTAATCTATACGTGATATTGGTCCCTTCTTTGAATTTAACCTGCTTCTGGTTTGCCATTTCAGATGCGTCCAATTCACTGATTCTTTCCAGTACGCCTGCACGATTCATATATTCCTCTTGTGCCGTCCTCTCCATTGCTTTGCTGGAATCTTCCGTGGTCGTGTCTCCTGATTCGTACGTTGAATCTTCCGTGCTGACGTCATCGTTACCTGATTGGCTGTTCCTTTCTTCCCTGTTGTCTATCTTTATAGTAGCCTTTTCTTGCAGAATTTTGGCGCGCTTTTCCTTCGCCATCTATTTTGTCCTACCATCTGCCACTCTCCTTCCTTCTGTGAGAATCCCTGTGTATCCTCTTATCTATTTTCGGTTGAACCATCTTCTGCGGCTCTTTTCCTCTCGTTCACCAACACGCTCGCCTCGACTTCCATCGCTGATCTCTTTGTATCACTCATCGAAAGTCGTTCTCTCGCTTTGCGTGTATCGTCAATTTTTCCGAATTTTTGCTTGACTTTATTCCCCCTTTCACGGGGGGAAATTTTCTTTTTTCCCTTCAACCTGGCTATCCTAAGAGTCGTATATGTCCCTCAGAAGATAGATAGATAGATAGATAGATATATTTATTGACTCCCCTCAGAGTTGCAAGGCGTTTTGAAGGGACGTTCCCAACCCTTTACAACTTTATACATTTTCTTAACCTACCTTAGCCTACCTTAGCCTATCTTACATTTAACCTTACATACTAACTGCCTTGCTTATCTTTACACACACACACACACGCTCGCAAGTTCCCTACCTCTGTGGACTTCCGTTTCCGTTTACAAACTCCTCACTCATCCTCTCCCTTTCATTCACTCCTCTCCTCCCCTACCTCCCACTCCCCTCCGTCATCTCTCTTCCTTACTCTCTCCAATTTCCTCAGCCATCTCTCTTCCTCCCCCTCCTTTCCCAACACTTCCCCCACCGCTTCCTGCCATGATCTTCCTCCCCCCCAATCTGCACACTCTCCCCACACATGTTCCCACGTCTCCTCCCCCCCTCCACACACCCTGCATATTCTTCTCTCTTCCGCCATCCAGTGTTTCACCCCCCTCATTCTACCCCCCAGCCTGTATCTAGCTACCCTCTGCCACCTGGTTTCTCCCCAGTTCTTTTTTAAGTATTCCGGTATCCCCTCCCCTTTTATCATGCCATACCACTTGTTAAATTTTGCCTCCCCTATCTCCTTCCACCTCTCCTCTCTTTGCTTTCTTCTTTCTTTTTTAAGCACGTCCTCCCCCCTCCACATCCCCTCCTCCCTTAGCTCCTCCACCTCCTCTATCCTCCAGCCCCTGCTCTCCGCCGCTTCTTTTCTCTCCTCCTCCCATCCCCCCCTGCTCACCCCTCTTTTCGCCCTCCTTTTTACCTCCTTCCAGCACTCCCTTGCCAGCTCCCCTCCCTTTTCCTCCACCAATTTTTTCTCATACCCCCATGCTCTCATAACCGCCCTTTCTCTTAGTTTCTCCCTTTGTAACTCCTCCCTAATCATATATCCCGGTATACATCTTTCCACTCCCAACACCCACCTTAAATATCTTTCCTGCAATCTCTCTATTTCCCCTCTTTCCCTCCACCCCCATATTTCCACTCCGTAACTTATCACCGTCCATATCAACTTATCAAACAACCATATTCTCCTACCCCAATCCCCCCCAAACCTTCTCTTTCCGATCCCCCATACTTGTCCCAGCAACGCCGCCCCTCTCCTCGTCCTCTCTCTTACATGTTCGTCCTGCCTCCCATTACATTTTACTACATATCCCAAGTAGCAGAATTTTCTCACCTCCTCAATTATCCTACCCTTCCACCTCCAACTCACCTTTTTCCATCTTCCTCCCCCTTTTCTGTATCTCATTACCTTCGTTTTTTCACTGTTCAATACCAATCCCTTTCTGTCCAAATACCCCTCCAGTTTTCCCATCATTCCTTTCATATCTTCCTCATTCTCCGCCAACATCGCTATATCATCCGCATAAGCCAGTGTATATATCTTTCTCCCTCCCAGCTTTATTCCACCCCAGCCCCCTCTTTTCAGTTCATCGTCAATGTCCGCCAGCAGCAAGGTGAACAGAATTGGGCTTAACGGACACCCTTGTCTGACTCCCCTTCCTGTCCAAAATCTCTCTCCCATCTCCTCTCCCACCCTTACTCTGCATATCGTCTCCCCCAACAGTTCTTTACACCTCTCCACCAAGCCCTCCCTTACTCCCTTTTTCCTCATGGCTTCCATCAGAATCCTCCTGTCCACCGAGTCAAAAGCTGCTTTTAAGTCCACGAACATCACCACCATCTTCCCTTTCTTCCCATTTACTTGCCTGTTTATCAGGTAATTCAGTACGTAAATGTTGTCCGTGGTCCCAACCCCTCTTCTAAATCCTGTCTGACTGGGTGGCAACAAGCCCTTCTCTTCAACTTCCTTCCTCAACCTTTCCGCCAACACGGCAGCATACACTTTGTATGCCGTTTGCGCTAACGTCACCCCTCTGTAATCCCCCACTTTCTCCCCCTCCCCCTTTTTTCCTATAGGCACTATAATTCCCTCCCTCCAATTTTCCGGCCAACCCTCTCCCTTCCACACTCTATTGCACACTTCCCATAGCCATTCTTTCACTACCTCCCCTCCAAACTTCCAAACCTCATTTGGAATTCCATCACTTCCCATCGCTTTTCTCTCTCTAAGCTTCCTCACTACCTCCCACACCTCTTCTCTCCTTATCTCCTCTTCCTCCTCCTCCTCCTCCCTCCCCTCCCCTCTTCTTGTTCCCATCACCACCCTCCCTTTCATTCCTCCCAACAGCTCTTTAAAGTACCCATCCCATTCTTGCATACTAATTCCCTCATTCACTCTCCTTCTCCTCTTTCTCTCCCTGTTTACCACTTTCCATACCTACCCCTCCGTCCTGATCTCCTTTACTTCCGCTTCCCATTTCTCCACTTCTCTTCTTTTCTTCCCTTCACATAGCTTCTTGTATCTCTGTTTTTCCTCCCTGTAACTGTCCCCTTCTCCCCCTTCCCTTCTCCATTTCCTTAACATGTTGCCAACTCTCTTTTTTCCCTCCCTACATTCCTCATCCCACCAGCCCCTTCCTCCGCTTTTTTTACCCCTCCTATTCACTTCCTTTAATACTTCCCTTATCTTCCCCTTCAGCCCCTGCCACTCCTCCTCCACTTCCCCTCCCTGAGCTTGCCTGTCCCCCATTAACTCTCTAAATTTTTCCCTGCCCTCTTCTGACCAGTCTCCTCTCCCACTTCCGCTCCTTCCTCCCTTCCCTTTATCCATACCTTCCTCCCACCCTTCCACCCACGCCGTCACTGGTTGATGGTCCGAATCGACCTTCTCTTCTACCACCACCCGTTCTACCCTTTCCCTTGTCCTCCTGTCCCCTAACACGTAGTCAATCACCGACTCCCCTCTTCCCCCTGTATACGTCCATTCTCCTTCCTCATCTCCTCTAATTCCTCCGTTAAAAATCGCCCACCCACGTTCCCCCAAGAATCTACACAGCTTTTTTCCCTCCCCATTTACCTTGCCATCCTTCGATCTCCTTTCTCCTTTCCCCCTCTCTTCTTCTCCCTCTTCCACGAACCCCCCTTCCTTTCCGGTCTTTGCATTAAAATCCCCCCCTATCAGCACTCTCACTCCCCTCTCAATCTCCTCCACCCATTCTTTCAGGTCTTCCAACTTCCCGTCCATATCCTTATTTATATATACTCCCACTACCCTCCACCACTCTTTTCCAAGTTTCACTTTTATCGATACTATCCCTTCTTTATCTTTTTGCGTCTTCTCTCTTTCCATTTTGATCCCTACCCTCACCCCTACTATCATTCCTCCTATCGCCCTTCCCTTCCGGCTCTTCCTCCCTGTTCTCTGAACTTCCCATACGTAACCTCTCGGCATCTTTTCTTTTATCCTTTCCCACCCCTTACCGTCCACCCACGTTTCGCATAACACCATTACGTCCCAATCCTCCAGCCTTTTCCAAAACTCTTTATCTTTATTTGTTAACCCCGCCACATTCCAAAAGGCCACCTTATAAATTCTACTTCCCTCCCCTCTCCCTCTCCTTTCTCCCTCCTCTCCCTCCTCTCCCTCTTCCTCTCCCACTCTTCCACCCAGTTCCTCCCTCTTATCCTTCTCAATTTCTGCTCCTCTTTCTTCCCCCCTACCCGCTCCCTCTCCTTCTTCTACTCCCCCTGCCTTTGCTTTTCCTCTCTTTCACTTTCTTTTCCTTTCCCTTGCCCTTCCTCCCTGCACCTCTCTCTGCCATTCCTAAGCACACCTCTTACCTCATCTCACACCCACCATTCCCCCTCTATCCATACCCTTCCCATCCCTATCTTTACCCTTTTACCCTCTCCTCTTGCCTTCCATGCCACTTGGTTTATCTTCCATTTTATCCTTCTTTCCTTCCATGTCAAGTCTTCGTCTATCCACGTATTTTCGTCTCTCAGTTTCCACTTATTTCTCATTATTTTCGCCTTCTCTTCTTTACTTCCCACTTTCACCACTGCCATACCCCCCTTCTCTCTTCTCCCCGCCTCTATTTTTTTAATCTCCTCTATCTTCACTTCCACGCCTATCTTTTTCATCACCTTCGCCACTCCCCCCTTTATTCCTCCCGCATCTTCCTTC